TTACCCAATGCTAATCAACTGTGCTCCACCCACTGCACCAACTACTAGAAAAGGGTACCAAATGGGAGTGGACAGACTACTGTTAGAAAGCTTTTTAGAGAACCTAAACGTCTCATAACATCTGACTTGGCTCTAACTCACTATGACCCAACTCTTCCAGTCAAGCTCGCATGTGACGCTTCGCCCACTGGCATCTAAGCAGTTCTATCACCCGCTATACCCGATGGGACCGAACGGCCAGTTGCCTTCGCATCCCAATTCTTATGCAAACGTAGCGTAAGTATGCGCACATAGACAGCAAAGCTTTATCCATCGTTTCGTGGGTTAAAATAGTTTCAAGTGTACTTGTATGGAAGACGATTCACGCTTATCACAAATAACCAACCAGTTACAACCATTTTCCATCCACAGAAAGGTGTGCCGTCGATGAATGCAGCCAGATTACAACGTTACGCATTGTTCCTAGCTGGTTTTGAGTATGACATAGAATATACAAGAACACCAAGAATTAACACTGTAATATATATGGACTGTCTCGACTTCCTTTCCAACACAATGAAAAGGATGAGGTAGACTTCAACTCTTCTGATCTGCCAACTAAACTGTACCTCTTCCCCCGTGCARCCTTGTCATGGCAACGTATACGTATTGAATTTGCCGGATCGTTTAAAAATTCTGTTTTTCATAGTTGTGGATGCTCACAGCAAATTGCCAGAAGTTATTCCAATGAAGTCAATTACATCTTCTAAGACCATCGAATGCCTTAGGAATCTGTTTGCCAGTTTCGGAATTCCAAATAATAAATTGAATGGTTGTAAAATCCGTTCAATTATAAGTAGGACTAAGTATTTTTTGCTAAAAACGACACTTTCATTCATCAAGAGAAAAGTCAGTGCATGAGTGCATCTTCAGTGCATGTATGTACACAATAATCAAAGGTTGATTTGGCATAGAATATGCATAAAAATACGCAAGCAAAACTGACAACAAATAACAACAGCAGCAACAAACATGAAAATGAAAAGGCTGTCCTAGCAAAGGGCTTAAATTATGCTATTGCACCGCGAAAAATTCCAGCTGAAAAGTTCATCGTGGAGGTAGAGACGTCCATATCGAATCTTAACTCTAACCAGAAGTCTGAAGTAAGAAAAAAAGTGTCAAACATTCTAGCTTATGGGAAAATTCCTAAAGATAACCTAACAAGAGATGAGAGAAAATGTTTGAATGCACATAGCAAAGATGAGTCTATAATGATGTTATAAAGGCAACGCCACTGTAGTCATGGACAAAGAAGAGTATGACAGAAAGCTCCAGACTATGTTGAATGATACAAGAACCTATGTGCTGTTGAAAAATGACCAGCAAAATCTTGTTTGACAAAAATAAAAAGCTTGTTATTGCAAATGAAGGATCGTCTTGGCGAGGAAACGTACAAACAGTTATCTTCAGTAGTAGTAACGGAGCAAAAGTCACAACAGAGGAAGTGGCTGGAGGCTTGTCAAAATGCCAAGGGAAACAACATATTGTTCAATAGGGACAAAGGTCGAACACTGCTTGCCTGGAAACTATTTTTTTTTTTACGCTTGCTCAATAATTAATTATTATGCTTATCTTTCTTGCATTTCATTTGTAACAGCGCGCGCATTGTCTTTATTGCGCGCTCAAAAACAGTTTCATTTCAGTTTGAATGCATTTTTGTTTTTGTAACGTCTTTGTGTTCCCTGAAGATGACCGCTTAGGTCGAACACTTGGAATAAAGTTTTAAAATTATTCATGGTTGATTCAGCAAACTACGTATAAAAACAAAACAAAACAAGGCAGAAATCAATGGAAAACAACAAAACAAAAGAATGACGAAGATTGTAACACCGAGAATCAAGATCAGACCTTTCTTCTTCTTTTTTTCACTCTTTTTTTTATAACCTGAGACATGAATCTGAGTGAAATCATATGTATGTAGAAATCCTCAGGCATGCCAAATCACAAACTAAATCAAGACCACAAGAAGTTTTGCTCGAACTTTCATTATCAGATTAAGTGCTAAAACTATATATGTGTCACAACAAAAAGTCATTTTTGCATAGCGGTTTGCGCTAGGCGATATGCATCTTTCAAATCTTCTTACTTTGCAGAGATCAGGCGCATTACAAAGAAAGCCGAGACTTAGGTGATGTTTGTATGTTTATTTTCAATGCTTTAATGTCAACGAATTGAAAAATAACCGGACACGATCCCGAGCCCACACTTATTCAATAGGTATCCTAGACACGTCGTATACAGAAGTTTCTCGAGAGGGTATCACAAATCTCCGGAGACACTGCGGAGTCATCAAGTGTTTACGGTAGACAGGTGTGAACGCTAACTGTTTCCGTAAAGTATGAAAAAAAAACATTTGTATGTGCGAAATCTTTTTTTATTTGTGTAAACGAAGACTTGACATGTACACATCCTTAGCAATGATTCCAAGTAATTTTTTTATATTTTTCTCCCTCTCTATGGAATCATTATTCTGGTCCAAACTTGTCAGTTAGTTTATCACCTCATTTGAAGATAAAGCAAACGACAGAAAAGAAGAAGCGAGGAAGAGAAACTTAACGGTCGGTTGCTTTTGTTGTTCAGTGCTTTCGTTTTACCGCTAATGAAACTGCTGCTAATTCTGAACTTTCCGGTCTGGAATACGAATGGAAGGCGGGCTGTCAAAGACAGCCAATCATCATGATAAATGAAAATAGTTACAAAATGATTGATAAAATAAAATAAAACCCATGTACAATTATAGATTATGCAATATCCATCATCATATTTATTTATTATATAAAGGGCATTACATAGGCGCGCGGAGATACGGATTATATCTTCGAGTGTTGAAAAGATCTCACACGAGTGAGCGTAGCGACCATGTAATATTCTGTTTATCATAATTACATATGAAAGCAAATTATGTCGTAAAATACTTGTTTTCTTGCTTTTACTATATAGAGAAACCAAAGAATGTGTTATTTTCACTAGTGAAATGGAGAAATATAGGTATTTCAAAGATAATGATATTATGAATAATGGTATAGCGCATGAAATCGTAAGGTAGTCCTCGTCACTTGTTTCTTTTCTTTTCTTTTCTTTTCTTTATGATTTACTTTATTTATTCTCATCCGTATATATGTTTTCCTAACAACTCTTCTCTTCCAAATATATATATGTTTTCTAGCTATAAAAGGTTTAGTTTGACCGGCAGCCAGCGCAAGCTCTTGAGTACAGGGATGATATTATCACGAATTTTCGCACGTGGTACCGTGTTATGTAAACTATGTTATATAATACCCTGTTTATGAATCAATTATTTTCATGTTCCCTCTGTTCTAAAATCTAATGCCAGCTGCAGAATTGTGAACTCGGAAACTCTGCTACTTTGCCTCTCATGCTGATGTTAACTATTTAAATATCAAAGGGAGCACAGGCGTTGATTTCTAGTATTTGAACTGAAATAATTTAACAAAACAGTATAAAAATGGAATAAAATAAACTTGGATTGATGATCGGAATTACTTCAGACAAGATTCGTTTTCGATGCCATAGCTAGGATCAGATCAAACACAAACAGGATGTAAATAAGTTCAGAGAAGACGTGAAATAACAAATTAAAAACTCAACTCAAAAGATCTAGAAAATAGAGAAAAAAATGACATAAAAAGAGGATACATGTATTACATGGGCGTGTGAAGATACCGATTTTATCTTGTCTGTTGTAGCGTAGGGAATAGTCATTTAAGGCGTAAAAAATAGTTTTTGAATACTGATAAAGTAAACCACAAATGTGCCATTTTCGAAACTTTTCGAAAAAGAGAAATATAGGTATTTCATAGATAATTGTATGATAAAATATTGTATTTGAAACAACCATTGAAATAGCAATCAACTTCAAGACGTGCACCTTTTCACAAAAGAAATAAGAAAAGAAAAAAAAAGGAAAAGTAAGATCGCTGATATTAAATTGCTACTCCGCACTGATTTGCTAAGTAATTCATATTCAAGGTGAGAACAGCTTGTCACGTAAACCCCTTGCTATTAAATTCCAGAGAGAGATCATTGACACGATTAACTTGCGACGAGTAACAAGATTTTTGCCCCAATTGTTTTGATTTCGACAATCTGTCTCTCATATATTAAGTTCACTTTGGAGTAAAAAAAATGTCATTTCATAGAACCATAAAATAATTTTCACGTCAATTGTTGTTTTATATTGAAATCTAAATATACAATTTATAAAAAAAGAACCCGTTTAATCATAAATATGTCTCGAATGATTATTTGATTTCGAGGTTTGTTCCGAGGAAACAAAGCTCAAGTTAAATCAGTTTGTGAAAAAGCTCGAGGAAAGTTCGATTAATTACCATATGATATTGCCACAAGCTTCTCGCTGAAGAAAGAATGAGGAGAAGAGACGTATAAGGAAATCCCCACTTGTAATTAAATCTCTATAAAAAGAAGAACATCATATTCGACGCCTTCTCTAAGCTCGAGTTCTGATCCAATGCTAGCTTGTATTTATAAAGTAAAGTATGATGCATATTTTTCCTTAGCGCCATTCAAAACACACGTTGTATTGCCTCGAATCCGAAAACATTCAAATTTAACAGTTTCCGCTCCTATAAACGGAAACTCTGAGCAATCATTTAACCGGTTCATTATGGTTCACGTAGTATCTTGATAATTATCGAATATTAGTTATTCTAAGAAGACCTTGAATCGGCATATCTCGCTAAGAAGCAATAACGACACTGTTGTGAAATCTGGTTATCTTTAATAGTGTTAAATCGCGTATCATGTTATATGAGTTTTGAATAAAAATAGCCGCGTAATCAGACGTTTGCTGCCGATTGGCCAAACAACGTGCAATCAACAATTAAACCAATATCTCACGTACTTAATGGAGAGATAATTTAAATATCAAGTCATATTCTCACGAACGTCTAAGTCGAAACATGTTTATAGATTTCCTAACAATGTTCGTAGCTTCGGCTGCTATCATTGGCAATTCTTTAGTCTGCCATATCATACTGAAATCGAAATTCGTCAAGAAAACCGCATTTAACTGCGTCATTCTCAATCTGGCCATCTTGGATGTAATATCTTCAATAGTGGCAGTATTCAAAGCGGTACTTTATGGCCCACTGTATGTCGAGGACAAGGGCGATGGTATCATGAGAGTCTACAACCCTGAAAGTCATGTTGGAGCTGAAATTATGTGTAAGATAAAGCAGTCATTTTGGATTGGATCTCGTGTAACCCCTGCTTTGCTGTTAGTGATAGCCTATGAACGCTATAAAGCAATAGTTACACCTCTGAACAGAAGGAATCGTGAGGTCAGCGCTAGAAAGCTGAAGTTAGCGATTGAATTTAGTTGGATTTTGGGAATTTTTCCATATTTGTTTTTTATGGCATCAAGAAAGGTGACATCTGAAGGATGCGATTCAATAAACGCAGATTGGTTCGATCCTTCCGTGTATACCATAATGTCGGTAGCTTTATGTTTCCTTCTTCCGACTGCAATAATGTCGTTGCTCTACTACAAAGTCATCAAGGTCATCAAAAGAGATGAACAGCTCGGTGTTCAGGCAGGCGTTCAAAGAGCAAGAAAGGCAGCGAGGCGAAAAGTCATCGCTATCATCATAACAGTCACAATTCTTTTTTATATATTCTGTGGATTTCCTTATGTCGCATACATAACTTCRGACGTGTTTACGTTTAAAATATGGAGTGATTCCACTCAAACTCTACTGTATGCAATCAATTCATTTACAAATCCATTGGTATATTTTACATTTCTGACCTCGTTCCGAAARGGGCTCAAATCGATCATCAAATGTAGAGTCACAGAYGAGGATTTGTCTAGTAAATCTACTWCAAATCGAAGCTCGTTACCAACTMATGCTACCAAGTACGAAAATAAGGAAAATAAGATTGAGCTTTTAAATATTCATCAGAAATCTTCACTCTAAATTGTTAAAAATGAAATAAGCCGTTTTCATCAAAATAGATCTTCACGTGATTCACTAAGAAATTGGTCATCCATTCTATTTTACTTCGAGGACAAACTATTTCGTTTTCGAAGAATTAAGCTTATGAACCGCTATAAAAAAGAAAGTAAAGGCAAAAACAAAAAACARAAACAAACAAACAAACAAAAAAGAAAATTATAACAAAAATAGAACAACTTAAAAATATGGCAGATTTGACCGTGCTTTAAATCGAAAATGCCTTCAGTTTATGCGACCTTATCTTCGTATGAATAGTCCAGCTGGTAGGTAGAGCAATGTATATAAGCTACTATCAAATTGCTTGTACTCACTTGATTATTATTAATAGTTATATTCGTCGTTTTTTTTTCATATACCATTATGGAACTGTAAATGCTCCATTTTAATCTGACACTGTAAATTTACTTGAAATATCTAAAACCAGTAGTTTCTGATACATAAAGTTAGCCAGTTTCGGATATRAAAAGCACTGTTTTTGAGCGATAATATCTAAATAGTCCGCCATGAAGCCTAGCATACAGGAAAGGTTCGTCTAAGTTAGTTTCAGCTCATATTACTTAAATATTAAAACAATCGAAATAACATAACTTGTCCATGCCTTTTTGTCCCTTAGTTCATGAAAGAATTGAAGTTAAATAAACTAGGAGCATTCGAATTGTCAAACTGGAGTGCATTTTGTTTACATCATCAGTCAACTCTATATAACAGAGGTGCATATCTAGCATAAGATGTGGACTGCTGGCTATGTATTACATAATATACATATGGATCTTTCACAACTGACATCCGAAAATAACAGCAAAAGAATGATTTTTGTTTTCTATAATTATCCTACGCGGATTTTTAAGCTTATGTCAAAAGTAATYTCAATCTTGTTTTTATTATTAGTCTAAAACGWTTTTCRCATATTTTYGTCCCTCAGTTCCCGCTACAGCTTGATAAGACTTTTTTCTCACTTCTGCTCAAAATTAGAAGAAAAAAGACTATAATCGTGTGTCACTGCGTAAACAAATCATGCCATGACATCAATACACGAGCGATAAGTCGACTTCTTAAATAAACATCAATGTATTCCTTGACAAATATCAATATGATATAGAAATGAAAGAAAGTTATAGTGCTTAGAAGGAGGCAATTCCGGGAGAAGTCCCTTAGGAATAAAATCGGAAAAATTAATTTCCGACCTCGCTGGTCTTCATATTCATATCTTTACATTATTCTATTACCGCAACCTTAACATCTATTTCACCCCGACCTGCTCCCAGTCTGGCCTTGTAGCTCAGCTGGTAGAGCATCGGTGTACAAATCCGAAGGTCATGGGTTCGAATCCCAGCGAGGTCGGAAATTAATTTTTCCGATTTTATTCCTAAGGGACTTCTCCCGGAATTGCCTCCTTCTAAGCACTATAACTTTCTTTYATTTCTATATCGTGTTTATCATAGTGCCATGCGGTCTTCATATTCATATCTTTACAAATATCAATATGAATTCTTTCACGATCTTTTAAAATAATACATTCTGCATGTGCTTTTGCAAAAGCTAAGCAAAAGCTGCGTGATTGTACGCATCTCAGCGGGGCGCCGTCATCGATCGATCGATCGCATGCTCAACTAAAATTACAAAATTTCTCGTGTCTTCAGTACAATGAGAATTTTAGAATTCAACGGTAAACATTATTGCAAAACCAGTTGTAGAGTGTTATAGTTAATTAGATGCAATATCTCACAACTTTCTTAAAATTGCATCTGAATTTATGTTTAAATAGTATTAAATACACCTTTTTAGTTGCTCTTAGGCAACTGTTAAATATGTTTTAATATATTTAACAGTTAAAAATAAAAAAATATAGATATATATATTCTTTTGAATTTGTAGGAATGTGAGTAATGCACACGCACACACTGATATGAATACTCTCGATTAGCAAACTCAAAAGAATAATTAACTTGCTATCGAGGACTAAGAGCAACTGAAAAGGTGTATCAAATCAGTGTTTGAGACCTCCAAACAAAGACACACAAAGGATAATATTATTTGTCTTGAATACCTTAGTCTCTTAGAATCGTTAAAATTTAATTATACATATAACTGACAACAGTGCTCTTTTGCGAGAAATTTCCCCTATTAAGACTTGATGTTCCTTATCTTCTTTACTGATCCGGTTCATAAAAACGTAAAATGCCGTATTTTTATGTAATATATACATTGAGGTGCAATCTGCAAGACATACTTAATTTTAAAAGCAATCAAAATTACTTTCTGCTTATTAGCATGCTATTTTCTCATTATTTCATAAATAATCGTCATTATATGAGGGAGCAATCTCAAACAGACTTGCCCTTCTACACACTAAAGACAAGTTATAACCCTATTCAGACTTGGCTTTTTTTTCAATCTGTGACTTTGAAAACCTATGTGTCAAAAACTGGTTGCCATGGCGACATGGATGACGTTATCAAAAAAGAATTACATCAAAATCTGCCCAGATAAATTTACATATGAAACTTATGGGGGACAAATAGTCCGTGATCACTCAAGCTTGACCTGACAGTCCGTATGAAGTGCCAAATTTGACGAAAAAAGGCCAGATTTYAARRMTTTTTGAAGAAATGCGGCGACATTAAAAACAATCCTAAAAACCTAGCACCGGATTTAAGAAATAAAATCTATATGTGACCTTTCTGGGTATTTTTCGTGAGAAAATTCGAAAATCCAATCATGTATTTTTGCCCTTGAAGAGTTGAAGTTCAGCATTAAAATAGTATGGCGATCCATGTTTTCACCACAGTTCGCTCCAAAAAACTGGGCCTCGCGCATAACTTATTTTGTTAATAAAAAACCTAGCACCGGATTTAAGAAATAAAATGTATGTGTGACATTGCTGTGTATTTTTCGTGAGAAAATTTAAAAATCCAATTATGTATTTTCGCCTTTGAAGAGTTGGCGTTGCTTCGCATCCGTTTGCGTTTCGGGATTCCTGTCCCGACGATGAACGGATGCAAAGGAGACTACTTCTGTAGGCACAAGCAACAAAAATCAAACTTGAATTTTTCAAATTATTGCTTTCTTATTATATGTTNGAATGTTTACATTTGCTCCCTGAGAATTAACACGATTTTAAATGACTTTTATAATCCAAACCAAATACATTTCTAGCATATAAGTATAGTAGTATATGAATGTCGTTTCTGCGTCATGAGAGAGGAGTGGAGAAGCAGCCAATGAGAATCGCCGCCGCACAGAGCAGCCAATGAGGACAATCTATTCCTTGGAGAGTACCAACCGTAACGGTGTCCATCCTTTGTTGTCCATTCTTGCTGGCAATAGAACTTTCGCGTTACAAGTAATCGTCACTCATACTTTTCATGAGGGAGGAATGTTTACTTGTAAAGGCCCGTTTACACTTGCAACTTTTGCAGCGCGATTGTCGCGCGACAATCGCCACTTTGTTCTCTCGCACCTCAAATGCAGCTAAATTTCTAGCATGTTCGAAACTAAGGCGATTGTCGCGCGACAATCGCGCTGCAAAAATTGCAAGTGTAAACGGACCTCGAAAGACAAAAGAAACCGAGTTGATCATGGTATATATAACGTACATAAAAAAACAGCAGGAAATTAAAGAAAAACAATTTAGAGCTAAGAAGAAATRGAATAATAAGGTTCAAGAGGAAGCAAAAAAAAAAAGATAAAACAGCATAGAAATGAAAAAGCAAGAGAGACTGAAAGAAAAGATGGACAAGAACAAGCATTCTCGAAAAACGGCCAACAATAGGAAGGAAGGAGGAACGTGACCATTGGAGGGGCAGAAAAGAGAACGATTAGATCAAGATCAAGAAACAAAAGAGCGAATAAATAGCAAATGACCCCGCAATGAGAGTATAGAAATATATTAGAGTGCACGTCACATAAGCATGAAACAATTCTTAATATGTATTGCTAAATAAGATTTAGTTATCAACTAACTAAGAATTCAACAAAGCATAAACACAATGCCAATTATTTCAATTCCTTTGTAGCATTGTTCTTAATTCTTAGTTAGTTGATAACTAAATCTTATTTAGCACTACATAATTAAGAATTGTTTCATGCTTATGTGACTTGCACTCTAGCAGCTGATGACAGCCAATAGAATATTTCTATAAAAGTGRACGAACTAAAAAGCAATTATTACCAAGGTAGGTGTTACTATTATTGCTTCACAAATTAGTCTTGGATGAAATCYGGTTTTATGTATGGTGTAATTTACTTTAATTAAATTCATTCTCCGACGGAAGAAAAGAAGTCTAACATAGAGATAGGCAAATAAAAGTCGAGGTATCTCCACTAATATCTGACTTACTTGAAATGCAGTAATTGCTTACCTTTGTCATAATGTTCTGCA